CAATCTTCTCATCTTACTCTTGACGAGAAAGTGATGTCCCAACATGTCAAACCATTCCTTCAAAAATAAATCATCATTGTACGCATTAGAACCTCCACAATTAACAAGATTATCTCATACTTATAATTGTCGACCTTTTCAGCCTTTCTCATGTCTATAATCCTCTAAAAATGAATAGCGGGATGTGGTTCACTCACATCAGCTGGCTTAACACTGTATAATGTCAAATATTTGAACTTCAGCTTTCCAGTAAATGTTGAGGTGCCATGTGTTTAGTAACCACATCTAGCACAATGTGGTTCACGGTGGAAAATAATGACACACTGGAATCAAGGATCTGATGACGTTAGTGCCATTTGCGTCTTTCTTTAACTTCTTCCTCAATGTCATGACTGTGCAGTCAAACTGACCGAATCACAGTGTGTGTTTCCTATATCCATTTTCACAAGTTAGCAGTAAATGTCTAAACAGTCATTGCCACACTGTGTCAGCTATTTGTGATTTGGAAAGAAAGGGTTTTGAAATTTCAGTGCAGGTCTCTGAGGGAGTCAGTCCTGTGTTGCTGGTGTCAATAACAGCCCCCCACTGAAACCCCCAGCTCATTGTCATGTGCCTAAAATGTTGGTAACTTTCCCACGTGCTCTTCCAGTTGCAACTTATCACAACAGCACTAAACATTCCTTTTACCGTCTCACTGGCCCATGCCAGGAAAATACAAGCGGAGAGAATAAACCAGGCTGTAGATAATCAGCCAGTGAATGACAACAACTCTGTTGTCACATCAAGGGCTTTTCTTTCCCTCTCATCCCATTAACCTTGAGTGTGGCGTAATGTAAATATTGGAGTAGTGTAGCTGAAAGGTTTGCTGATCATTTTCTGGCAGGGCCAACGTTCAAATAGTGCCAGAGAGGACATCACTTAGCAGCATAATAGGGTGCTGTTAAACAGCTGTTTTGAGATAAAGATGTTTTTAAGATGTGATAATCTATGGATTGGTTACACAAGAAAAATAAAAATAAAATGTTAAAAACACAGGCTGTTTAAAATGAGCTAAGGAGGTCACATACTTAACTAGAATAGTTGTAACTGTCAAATATCTTTGAGGATTATTTTCTGGGTGTGAAAAGTACGAGATAATGGCTTTTAGCTCTTCTCAGTTGATAGCTGTGACAGTGCTGATATTAATGGCCGTAAAAAGACTATGTGGTATGCAGAGAAGAATTCAAACTCATCTGCATGTGCCAGGCATGTAGTGCAATAAGTGAAAACAATCTTATTATAATATAACCTGATGATTTAGATAAAAATAAACATCCATGTATTTCTAGGAAAAAAATAAGTGGTTACATAACAAGTGTTACCTTTTGCATTTTAATATATTTGCAGAATTTAATGGCAAAGTCTGATTCCATATAAGCTTTTGTATCAACATGTTTTTCTTTTTTTTGTGCTCTCACTTCCCATTAAGACACTAAGGGGTAGATGAGAAAATACATAATAACAATAACAAAGCTTTCTTCCCTGTAAATTTACAGTAATGCTTGATGGAGTTACGCAATAAGTGGGAAGACAAGTCTCACAAAGTGTTCCAGACAATTCCTGATATCAATCCACATACCATAAAAGACTACTCTAAAAAAAATTTCTAGTCAAATACTGTACATTTATTTCAAACCAATGCCACACTTTGAGTTTGTGATTTTTTAAAATTTTTTATTCTTTTGAAAAACGAATTGTGAAAAACAGTACTGTCACAAAACAGTACTGGCCTGTTGTTCATTCTCAACTGTGGTGATCACCCATGGCACTTCCCAAAATTCACAGAAACATACAAAGAACAGCATTCACAGCAACACAGTCAGAGAGAAAGAGAGACAGAGAGAGTTACCAGGAAATTATCACTGGATGATTAGTAATGACAAAGTGGTCTTGCTCAACCAAGAAGGAAGTTTTACAGTAATACAGTGATAAACGCTGTATGTTCTTTAGCAGACAAATGGAGGCGTGCAGGTAGAGGCATCAAGTGGCAGCCTCTGTATAGGACTATAGTACAAAGCTAACAGACTCACATTATCTGACATTCCAGTGTATTGGCTGCATATCTCAGTGACAGTTCCACAGGAGTTTTCCTTATTTGAATCACACACTTTGGTTTGCATCTCACAGCAGCAGCACCGTTTCCTCCTTTCTTGTATCATGTAAAGGTTTCAGTAAAAAAAAACAAAAAAAACAAAAAACAAAAAAAGTTTAAACTAATGTTTAGAAAAAAGAAAAAAAAAGACATTGCTGATGTTGTTGACTCAACCTGAATTCAGGGCTCACTATATACAGCTGTGCAAACAATAAGCGGCGCCTTTGTAATTGCCAACACCACAAATAATTTCATGAAATTGGCAAAACACGCAAAGCTTTTAAAAGATCTCCCTGTTCAGTGAATTTCTGCTAAACCAAGCAGCTCCAAAATATTTTGTTGAATAACATTTTTCTGCTTTTCACCCCTCTTTCCAGTCGAAAGGTCCGCTTTTTTCCCCCCTCGTACCCAGCGGGTTTACGGGAACCATGAGCTAGAGTAAATTTCTGAGTCAGTGTGGGAAAACCTGAACAGCTGCCTTTTCCACTAAACAGTGGTTTAGACAAACAAGCTATCGTGCAAGGCCTTGTCTCTTGCGCTAAAATATAGGGAACAATTCATCGACTTTGCATGTGAATTTAAACTCATTCACTTCTAATGACAAGACATTCTAACAGTATTTGTGGGCAAAATACATCCAGTTGAGCCTGGACACACATTTAGAAAAACATAAAAACATGGTCAATAAGGTGTTTTTTTGATTTACTATTTACATTATGTAAATCTACTATAAATGAAAGCACATGCACGCACGGCCTACAGAGCCAAGTCTGTCACTGCCAAGCCTCACACCCTGAGCCTCAGATGTTTGGCTGGAGTCCCACGGTGCGCTACAACAACAGAGCGAAAGCCCCCTCAGTTCCAGGTCAGTTAGTTCGCCTTGCCTGATCAAACATTTGTGGGTTGACCTCTGGGTAAGTACACACTGTCTTTGGTTTGTTTAGTTTATTTTATTTTACTTTATTTTATTACTATCATTACTTTATAAATCTTGATGTCTGGGGACACTTAGGTCCTCCTCCTCACTGCACTTAAAGGTCGGTGTATTCCACTTTATCAAAAGTGCAACTGATGTGGGAATTTACAGTAGACATGCTAAAAAGCAAAGTCAGCATGCTGTAATAATATGCGTAGTGGTTTCCAAGGAAACGTGGTGAGCTAAAACATGTTGCAGGGATTTCGCCCTCCAAGCTTGAGCCAACTTACTGCTCCTCTTCTCTCCATTGATTCCCATTAGGATCCCAGGGGAGACTTTGAATGCTAAATACATGCCTCACAAGGATGACACAATAGATTTTCTGGGAACAAGTGGACTGTTACAAGGCTATCCCAGTGATTTCCCTTCCCCCCTTATCCTAATGATGGCCTGAATCAGACAACACCTGACTCACCTCTGTGGACACAGCTGGCTTTTACCAAAGGCCATCCGGCTCTGTGGCGTCAATTTGTTTCCCACAAGCCCCTCCTTCTGTCCAGTTCCCAGCTGAGCTCTGGTAAAACTAACACCAAAACAGATGCCGAGTATCTTTTTAAGCACTGAACTGATCTGTTTTTCTTTTTTTATTCTCATTTTTAGGTTTTCAATTACAGGCAACAGCAATTGTAAAACTCTGACTGTTACTGATGAGTAAAATCAATGAGTTGTTTAAAGGAAGGCAAAGTCTGACATGACACCATAGCCTGGTGTTAATCTACAACACAATAACTACCTGAGGCTTGTGGTGGTCATAGCTGAGTCAGCAGGGAGGGCGCTGATGTGGACTGTCTGAGCAGTCTATCAGTCACACGCATGTTACCAAAGATTTGACTGTCTTTACATGACGATCTGAAGTCACACTTCCTGTAGACAGCCATACGCTGATGTAGAAATTGTTAAAGTGATGATAAAGAAAGTCTCACTAGAGGGAGTAGGAGGTAGCGTCACCACAGGGGAAAAATGTACTTTTTGTAATCATATTGTTGACACTCAACACTGGACTATTCTATTGGAGTGTTACAGGGTCTAAGATAAGGCTAAACACAATTATTATTTAATTTTCCTTTTAGATCTTCTGCTTGTATGATAAATAAATGGATTATAACTCACTATAGCAGATATAAGGACATTCAAGTTTCTATCAAAATACAGTATTTTACTATATTGTCATTCATGTTTAGGTGCTGATCCGTCAATGTGGGCTCTGTAGCTGTAAATCCAAGACACAATTTAAAAAACTACTAATTATATTAGTAAAACATTATAGTATGCATTTTAATGTTTAATGAGGTGTATTTGAAGAGCAAACTTTTAGATCTTAGTGTAATAATAGATTTTGGGAACTTTACAGCAATCATTAAAATATTCTCATGAGCACTGCAAGGAACACATATAAATAATAACCTGTTGCCCCGGGATACCAGCTGCTGTTGTTGGGAAATAATGGTCTTGATGAAGTTACCCAAGATCTGGCGCCCTCTAAGGGAACTGGTACTCAGTGTTTGTGAGACACTGTTGCTGTGAATTTCTCAGAAACTGATTACACAAACCGCTTCAGCTAAGACTGAATGATTACCTCACACTTGACGCTAACAAGGAACCTTTACCAAAAAATAAGATTGAAATGATATGTTTTTGAAATTCTTCAGCTGGTTCTAAAAATCTGAAAAAAAAATAATGAAAAAGTGTTTACAAAACACTAAAGAGAAAAAAACTAGGTTACTAGAGGTAAATAAGTATTGCTTGGAATTCCTCACTAACTTCATTTAGGAGGAGCAGTAGGGGGAGGGCACTTCGCATGGCAGGAATAAATACATTCTTCCTGTCCGCCAAGAGAGGCTTTACTGGAAAGAGGGGGGCGGAGTCTCCTCTCAGTTATAGGGCTCGAATCCTCTGCACTTCTTCCACTTAAAACCCTGAGCTCAGTGGGGAAGCTTACAGACTGTAACAGACCGAGAGAACTGCTTTACAAGTCTGGTCAAACTTTAAAACATTTCAACCCTCAGACAACAGGATAACTTTAAACAACCTTCTATCCAGCGTTTGGATTTATTTGAAAAGAGCGAGTCTGGAGAAACATTGAAGGTAAGAATCTTTGTGTGTGTGTGTGTGTTTGTGTGTGTGTGTGTCACATAATTATTATCTGAGTCTAACAAAGATTCAAAAGTGAATAAAAATGTCTTGGGCTTTTATCTAAGTGAGTTAGTTTGTTTAGTAAAGCCGGTTACTGCATGTAAATTGCGCAATCAGGATTACGCCGTTTTTACTGGAACTGACCGTGGTGCCTGGGTCCCGAGGGCAGATTACACACACACAAAAAAGTTTCCCCGAAATAGCTAGAAGTTAATCTAAGTTAACACATTGTGAAAACCAACATTCTTCTCCAACAGAGGAGAGGAGTCATACAAGCTGGGTGGTTGTTCTTTGGTTTTTAGATGACAATTTAAAAAAAAAAAAAAAAAAAAAAAAAAACTGCTGGCGCTGTGAGACAATCTCCCACACATCACCAGAGATGTTTAAAGGCATGATGCACACAACCTCCACATCTGGAAAACTAGTTTCCAGTGGAGCTGCAGCAGTTGAAGAGTATTACATGAATAAAACAGATCTGGGATATTATGTCAGTGTGTACTTAAACTTTTAAACAGAATTGTATTTACTGGTTAATCTTTTCCACACTGAGCTCTAACTCACTCATATCTTTTTTTTCTCCTCAGGTGTTTTATTTCCAGAGAGCTGACCTCTTCATGCCCTCCCAGACATCCTTCTGAACCTCTGTTTAACTCCACCTCTTCTTCTCTCCTCTGTGTGGCGCCCGGTGCTCCCCAGGCTACTTAGAGAGCGGGCACAGCGCCATGGTAACTCACAGCAAGTTTGACTCCGCAATGAGCAGCAGCCTCTTGGACTCCAACATGCGGCTGCCTTACCGTTACAAGACTTTCACCTCCAAGACGCAGTACCAGATGATCCTCACCACGCTCCAAAAGCTCCAGGAGAGTGGCTTCTACTGGGGTGCCATCACTGGGAAGGAGGCCAATGCCATGCTGGCAGCCGAGACCACCGGCACCTTCCTCATTCGGGACAGCTCCGACAACCGTCACCTGTTCACCCTCAGTGTCAAGACGGCGTCAGGCACCAAGAATCTGCGGATCCAGTGCGATACTGCGTCTTTTTACCTGCAAACAGACCCTAAGAACATTCAGTCCGTTCCCCACTTCGACTGCGTCCTGAAGCTGGTGCATTACTACATGCCACAGAGCAAGGGGAACACTCGCAGTGGGAATATGTACTACATTTACTCTGGAGGAGAGAAAATCCCCCTGGAGCTCATCAAACCTCTCTCCTGCAGCTTGTCCACCTTGCAGCACCTGTGCAGGAAAACAGTCAACGGGCATTTGGACATTTCCTCTAAAAGAGATCAGCTTCCTCATCCTCTTAAGGAGTTCCTCCAGGAGTATGATGCTCCTATCTAGAGGTGTTGGACTAATGCTCTTGAAGGAGCAGAGACTTAAATGTGTAATGAAGACAGTGGATGGTTTTGGTACAACTACATGTGTTTTGTCGGAGGAGGAATGATTAAGCAGAGACCAAGAGAGTCAAGCCCAGGACTGAGCTTGTGAAAAGGAGCCGTTTTGTTCTGACAAGATGTGCCTACTTCTCAGAGAAAAGTGAGCTTGCGTCCACATTTCAGGAAAGAGACACTGGATTGATGAGGACTAACCCACAAAGAGGGCCAAGAGAAATAGCTCTGCTGTAGTCTGGTGGTATGAAAGAGAGATAACCCCTGTCGTCCTCCTCCGTCTCAGTGATGACGTACAACTTACTGAAAACTGAAGTGAGGCTCACAGTCAGCTGTCTGCACTCTGATGACACACAGGTTCCCTCTGCTGCTGCTAACCAATGTGCTGCGAGGCTGTCGAGCTCACGCACATCAGCCTCAGAAAATCATCTACCCATTAAAGCTGGACTGGCTTTATTTTGATCAGACTGGCTTTTTTGTTTCTGCTGACATTGGATGATAATCTTGTACAGATTAGACATGTCCGTTCAGCGATCAAGCATCTCTGACCAAGTGTACGCTGGAGATTCACAGACAATGGAAACTGTGCCAGCCATGATGGGAAAGGGCTGAACTTTTTTTTTTTTTTTTTTTTAATCTGAATCTATTTTAAGACCATAAAATGTGGAAAGAGGATATGTTTCTGATATTCTGTTCAGAGGAAGGGTTTATGCCAAACTTGCCTGAACTAGACAACAGTTTGTTGGAACACCAACATGACTGAATCCTACAGGATCTTAATTTAGAGAACAGTACCACTGCTGTGAGTCAGAAGTTTGTATGGCATCAGTGGTGAGGAAGTATGTACCATAAGATGTGGTACTGTCTGTGGCGCAACACAGGATCACCACTGCTTGCAAATGAATGTATTAAAACATGGTATCTTTCCTTTCCTAATAAGGAAAAGAGTCAAAATGTGTCCTTTCCTTAAAACAATGTTTACATGAGTGAAGATGAAATGGTAAACCTGTCATTGTGCTGTCTTTTGTAAAGATGTACCTTTGCCAGCCAAACCACTGGCTGTGGATGCTTGAAGATATTTGAGAAGTTTGACGAAGCAAGCAGACTGATACAACTTTGCACTTATTTATATTTGTAAGAACATTTCGTTAATTTATAATAAAGATCACTATTTTTCTATGAAATGAGATCTCATTGATTGATTTGCTTCTTGATGACTTTGTTCTTTTGGGGATTTACTTCACTCATAGTGAAACAGACCACAAGCTCACTTAAAGATTACTAAGCACCAGCTCCTGCTTTGAACCCAGATGGGTAACCACTGCTCTACGTATCGCTGCATTTTTAAAGATACACTAAACACAAACATGCTTCAGTATTTTATCAGTTTCTTATCATATAGCAAGAGCTTTGAAGTTTCTCCTTTAATGGGTAGTTTCTTAGAAGACACTACAAGCTTAATTTCATCTTATTCTTCCTCTTACAAAGAAGTTGAGAAGCTGCTTTAGACAAAATACACCAGAACTGTGAAATAACAAACCAGTCTTCTAGAGAAGTGCAAGGAGACTCCTTTGTTCTGGTGTGACACATTGGATTGTGGGTGTAAGCGTGACCTAACATGTTTTCACATGCAGATAAATAATGATGCAGCAGTCTGCAAGAATGGCATACGAATTCTCAGAAATGCTCTCCACCCTGTACACAAATATGCACTCAGGTAAAAGTATGCCAACCGGTCTATTTCAGTACACAGGAATTCGAAGACATGATGTATTCACTCGGTGCACGTGGTGCAACCCTATCCAGTAATCAAGTAGAGTGCTGCCAGGTCTCTGGAACAATGTGATCATAAGTTTAACAACAATGGGTCCTACATGTGTTCTGTTTACCTGCACGCCAGGCTCTGAGACAACAGTCAGACTTCAACCAAAACAGCAATACTACACTACACAACTGGCTTTTATCAGGAATCAGTTCCCCTCCAACTGGCTGCACAATGAGTCACATCAATTTTCTCCTGCAGCATGAATTATTGTTTAGGGATTATTTTTAGTACAAGACATCCTGTGTTCCTTGGCTGTCTGTCCTTTGAAAAAGTGGCCTGGTTCCCAGCTGTATACCTGCGTGAGAAAGGGTTTGAGTGCTTTTTTGTATTCACCGTGAAATCTGGAAAAACCTTCCAAAAGTTTTCTTTTGCTAAAGCTTTTTTTTTTTTTTTTTTTTTTTTGTTTTTAGCAGTAATTAATTCATTTAACTTTGGGAGTCCTGGAGAGGACCAAAAAAAAATCTATATTTGTTCATGCATCAGTCATATAACATATAAAACATGTTTTCCTTTGGTGTAATAACAACACTTTCATCAAATGTGCAAGCCTAGGTTGGTCAATACTTTTCTACATATTATGTTTCAATAAGGATAAAAGAAAAAAAAGAGACATTTGAAATTTGAAAATTTTGCAGTTATTATAATTTTTACACATCCATCTGTGGGGTCTGTGGGATGCCAAACAATGAGGAATAAAAGCAGATAAAGGAAGGAAAAACGCAAGGGTTAAACAATTCTCGATTTAATGGTTATGATTTCTATAATAAACGTTCCCCAGATGTACTGTAGCTTCCTCATTGCAAAGCCCTGTGAAAGCACGGATCACCTCATGTTTACTGCACAGTAACATTAAAAGAGACTACAGCCAGGAACACATGAACATTTACTGCAAACTGTTTAAATGATGGATAAACAGGAATCTGCAATAACCTTCATATTACGGGAAGGCGCTCCAGCTCTACCTGCTTCCACAGCACTTAGCTGTTTGCTTTCAGCCAATGGGGCTCAGGGCAGAGGCTTCAATAAGATAAAGGGCCTCTGAGGTGATTTGCACTCTGTGAGTGGTTCAGAACAATGTTGTTTTTTCCAGAAATGTGTTGATATGAAATACGTATTCTATTAAAATACACATTCATAAATGTCATTTGCGTCACAAGGAGTGCCACAAGACTGTTTGGGAAAGTCTTTGCTTTCTCAGTGAAATATAAAACATTCCAGAAAAGCACAGTAGTCCTTTAATTACTCAGAACTGAACAATCGGAGGATCTGGATAACAACATGAATCATTTTTCTGGCTTAATTCATTTTGAGGAGGTCAGTACAGGATGTAGCTGAGAGTATTAAATACACCCTTTGTGTGTGATAATACCAAATAAGTCCAGGCTGCTGCAAAATTGCTGAGCATAAAAATATCATCCCATCATTCCTGTTTGCTAGTAAGCCTGAGGTCCATGTACACAAGTGAAAGAGGTGCAGGTAGATGGGGAAGCACAAGAAATAAAATGATGTATACTATTCTGTATATATGGGAAGTGTTTTATGTGATTGTGTACACTCTGCGCAGGGTTTATGTGAAGTGTACATTTTGCTCGATAAAATTAAGCCTTTTGAGCATGTGTCACTGCTCTGTGTTGCTTTACCTGGTAGCCTATTTAATTAGAAGTCTAAAGAAGGCATTTACATAGGAAACTCAAACACCTTTAAGGCCTAATTGATGGCTGAAAACAGACTGACCTTCAGTGTTGCTCAGGAGAAATTCTCTGGTAGTCTCTGATCATGTGATTCTAGAGAACTGTCATTATAGTGCAACACTCCCCTCCCCCCTCCCTCCCACAAGCCACTCACTGTGTCTAAATCTGAAACCATTACAGCTCCCACATCAGGTTTTTCTGAGGAAGAGCCAGCATGTTCTCCATAGCTGTACTCAAACCTGCCTCACAGTTTACACAAAGAACTCATAGGTACACTTATTTAGAGACTTTATGTTTGATACAAATACCATGCAGTGTGTAATATTTTGGGGACTGTACATAAATTTGCAACTTCAGGTACTTCTTGTAACACACTGTATTGCTAGCATTGCTTAGAATTGAAGCTGTATCATGTCATTTAGGTAACTTTGTAAAATTTAATTGTCAAAAATGAAAGCTTTTCAGCCACAATGTGCAAAATACAGTTCTTATGCTTCATGTAACCTGAAAAATGATGGCTTTGTTATTCAAATTACTGCTTGTCTACTTACTTATCTGCCCGGAATGGAGACTGTTCTTTTTAAATGTGTAATAGCAATCTTTTTTAATATGACACACGAGATATTACCTTAACATTGTGTTGGAATTCCACTGCAGTAAAGTGCAGTAAAATGGTTGTATAAAAATTAGATAATGGGTTTATCTGATTTGTCCTTGAGCATAATGTCCCAGTATTCAGCCATAGTGACATATTATGGCACAGTGAAGTGCCTAATATGATGCTGGATTCATGATAAATACAACCTGCTGACTGGGAAAATCCATTCACGTCAGTCTCTCAGAAATAATTACAAGTAGGATGTGGGATTTTGTGGAGGTCCCCTTACAAGATGGATAATCTGTAATCTGTTGAAATCACTGATAACAAGCAGTCAGATATAAGATTTCTTGAAACTAGGACCACAAAGAACTGTCTGACCGGAGAAGTAAAGCATCAAGCATTTTTAACTTGATGAAAATTCAGAAATTCACAAAACATCAACCAGTCCCACTAGATTTTAAGTATCTGATATAAGATTAAACCACTTACTTAATTTTATAATCTCATTCATCCACATTTTACAATGTTACACAAATTGTCTATAAAGTGATAGAGAGCTCATAGGAAATGGACTTTGGCCATGTGTTCATGAGAAACTGGGGTTAAAAATAACCCAAACAAAGACAGAAGTAGAATAGAATAGAATAGAATAGAATAGAATAGAATAGAATAGAATAGAATAGAGTAGAATAGAATAGAATGGAATTGAATAGAATATCTTTGTTGTCATTATAGTGATGCACTACATCAGAGTTCTTAAGAAGAAAATATACAATCATTATAAATTCAAGGAGTATACAGATATAAATAAAAGAGTGCGAGTAATATAGAACTGTATATGCAAAAACTGACACACACACACACACACACACACACACACACCCATTTTGCCTATATAGCACCACATGAATCAACAGAAGTTGCCTCAGGGCACTTTTCATACAGAGCAAATTGAGGCCATACTCCTTTCAGTCAGCTTTTCTTATTGTTGTATGTCAAAATGTCTTTTTTGAAAAAGGCCCATCACGGTGTCGTCATTACTTTTCCACTGAGAGAGATACAGTAAGCACCACATTTTACACAAACTAAGTTTCCTGCACTGCAGGGCTTAGCTTTTAGTATTAGCACGTGGTACAGCTAATGTCTAAGTATTAGCACCAGAAATGATTGCTGTCAGCACTGAATCAAAGCTGCAAAGTTTCTCCTTCAAAGTATCACTAAGACTTAAAGTGATACAATGAAGTTTTACATGGGGTTACTGGTAGTTCCCTAAAGAGGGGAACTACCATTTAGGGAACTACTGCTATGTTGTTTAGTGATTCTTCCAACTTAAAGTATCGATTGGACCTTTGCAAGAAATGAGGAAGGTCACAGAAGCTAAAGCAGTTTGTTGCTGTAAAGGGGAAGCAGGATTGTTTAATTTTCAGGTAATCTTCTGAAATGTCACTCTTAGATTCAGATTTTGTTCACAAGCAAGATAAACTTTTTTGGTTGTCTCACAAGTGTGCAATGTATTCTAAGTTAAAATACTGTAAGCATTTATTGTCATGCTGAATTCATTTTTTACAGTGGCAAAAGTAACTTAAGGCTCATTGACCAATGAAAGCTGCCATAAGTTGCATATGATACTCCTACTGTGCAACAGGGCAGGCCTGTTTGTGTCTGTGCCTACTCATTTTGCCTAATTTGCCCACTTTGAACTCAGCACGTGCGTATACAGTAAGCTGACGTCCCTATTGGAGCTCTTGAGCGCATGGTGAATAAACAGTGAAAGCCCAATTCCCACTCATCTTTCCAGTCTCTCAGTCTGTTTACAATTCCACAACTGCTGGTCGCCATGGAGCTAATGTCAATGAGCTCCAGATGCCAGTTATCTTAGCCAACCAGGGAGAAGCTTTGAGTCATCACAGCCCGCAAGTCCCTCCCTCCAAGACTCTTCTCCCGGCATGCCCCTCCTGTTCCTCCTCCAGGCCTTCAGATTTACTGTAAGCACTCCACTACCCTGTGCTATACTCCACTTCTGGCTATCATTCTATAAATCTGCATCTTCGAACCTGGATCCTCTGC